TCGGGATCCTAAGGGCGGGGGGGGGGGGGTGCCTGCACCCTCACACGGTTTTTCGCGACGGCTCTGAACACGCTGGCAATACAGCACTGAAATTTATCACACCCGACCTTTGGGTCAAGCCGAATTTCGTGACTCCACCCATAACGTCAGGTCAGATCAGGTCACTGACCTATGACGTCATGAGTAAACCTCTGCTGGACAGGGCTAAAAGGGTCCTAAATTTTTTGATGTATTGATGTATTGATTTTGATGCATTGATGCATTGGTGGGTCCTAAAATGTCGCAACTGCGAAACGCCCGCAGTGCCACTTGCCAGAGAAGCCATCAACAGAGAGATGAAACTGACGGGACCTAGTATCCTCCAGCAGTCTCACAAGTTTCATATTCCGAATTTTTCCTAAGGATCACCTAAGGTCAGGTCGATCAGGTGATCTCAACATTGTAGGTATGCCAATGGGGATATGAAAACCTTTATTTTGGCGCCGGAAATGATCTAAAACTACCTCATAGCATATGGAAGCGTGAGATCGTGCACTGCGTTAAAGGCCTGGAGGGTTCACTGGCATCGTTGACCTTCCGTGACGTCATCTATGACGTCACTAAGCTCACAAACGTTCGTCAGTGATTTCCGATCAAATGGAGCGAGCGAGTAGGGAAAGCTACCACTGGACTCCGGAAGACCTGCCTAATCGAATGATATGAGCTATTGCCTCCTTTCGATCAGCGTGGCCTGAGTAGCTCTGGCCTGATCTTGACCTGAGGTCAACACCGTAAGTTTATTTCTCTCAAACAAGATACATTCTTTTATTCGATGCACCCGAGCATGAAAAACACGACGAAGCCAAGATCGCGACATATGCGACATTTTTTGGCGAAGTTATTTACAAACATCGAGCCCGTACCTTAGGACACTTGACCGGACCTCAGAGGTTACCAGTTGAGAGTTAACCCTCGCCGGTATAAGGTAGGGGGTCAAACGGACCCCCCCTCGGCTCTTCGCAAATAACTCGCGTAAAAGCGGTCGATCGCGACGAATCTTTCAGTACCCTCACGTTTATCAATTTTACACCTACCCTAAAAATTTCATGACCCTGACGCAAATGACCTTTGACCTGTGGGCTGTGACGTACTTTTCGAGAACATGTTTGGCCGGAATCGTGATTCGGCGTATGTCGGCTTGCATTAGCCGCGCGTTTGCACTCTTTTCGTGGTTTCAAGCGTTCAAACATGTGATATGATGTTGCTCCCATGCATTAGGGTGGGTGGATGACAAGGCCACCTGAAGGTCAGGTCAGGTCATTGACCTTAATGACCTCGGTTCACTTTTTCGAGTTTTACATGTTTCTACATAGGTTAGTTTTTGGAGCTGAATTCGAATTAAGCAACCATTTGAACATTTACGAAGTAGTTTTGGTGCCTTCGTAACATGTTACGAACCTGTCAGAGGCGGTTGACACCTACTACGAATACCCGGCAGGACCCCCTACTGGCTGACATGACCTGACCTGACCCGACCTGGTCTAAATGCACCAAGGCATCATCTGTGATCAAAACTTACATGATATTCGTGATCAGCACCCCGAAAACCCCATGGCAGCCACACTTTACGACGTTCTAACAGGGCTCGATTTTCCCGACTTTTGGGTCATTGACCTGATTTAGAAGGTCAACCAATGACCTAGGACCTTAAAATTGTGTATCATCGGCTTCCTCTCGTCACGGGCAACACGATGTTTTTTTATTTCTGAGAAAATCTACTCGCATCTCGATCAGGGGCGAAACGACAAGGGTGTGCCCGACGGACCCCCCTCCCCCCTTAAGTTCGCGGCTGCCACACCTTTGCGCTGAAGCTCAGCCACACCTTTCACAGGTTCCTCTTAACCCACGAGCCGCTGGGGGGGGGGGCATAAAGTTGCCCCCCCCCCTTTACGTTTTGTGGAATATCTCCGAAACCTGATGAGCTACGAACGTGAAACTTGGCATAGCTTCAAATGAATACCTAGGCAATGTTTGAAGAAAGTTTGGTGGTTGTAGCATCTAAGATGACGTCACAGTGACGTCATAAAGTTTTGTCGTTTTCCGATATGGACTGTTTCTGATGACGCTGAGCATGAAACTCAACTGTAAATGAACTAGACAGCACCTGCTGTCATCCTAAAACATCTAAGTACACTTCCATCTAGTTGCTAACCAATAATCGGCCCTTTATATTCGGTCCCATATACCTGATGTATCGTGAGGAAACTGAGAGTCGCAAATCTATAATTTGACTTATGACGTCACTGTGACGTCATTTCAAACGGGATCGACACCAAATTTGGACACAACCTCGGCTAGGTATTCAGGAAGATGTGTGCAAAGTTTCGTTTCTCTATCTCTTCGCGTTGCGACGATATCGCCGCGGAAGTAAAGGGGGGGGGCAACTATATGCCCCCCCCCCAGCGGCCGGCGGGTGGCGCGGAGGCCCAGCGGCCGCCGGGTTAAGTCCGTTTACTGTGGGAGCCCGGAGCTGGTTCAATCTTGCTGAGCTCCTTCTTCATGATTCCCCATAGGTTTTCAATTGGGATTAGGACAGAGGAATCGATTTGACTTTCTACTTCATTCCAGTCTTCACCATAACTTCAGCGCGATGACGCTGTGTCAAAGAATTTCTTTCGTCACAGTAGACACCACGTTCAGGTGCGAGTTACGCCTGCCAAACGCTGGCCCCTGGCGCCTCTCACGTGTCAAGGTCAGGTGACCGGGTTAGGTCATGTGACTAACGGACAGCTGTGGATAGCCTTAGGCACGGTTTTAGCAAATTTTCAACAGTTCTTAAAGCGAACAGTGGGATTACAGCTGAATGAACACGGGGCAAATAATTTCCGGACACCCTGTATATAGGCATTCAGCAGAACGAAGTGTCCGACACTCGTAAGTCGATTCTTTCTTAAAAAGACATTTAATGTCGACCAAAAGCACTTTTGTAACGGCGCTGAAGAAGTCAATAGACGAAACCGGTACGCCTTTAATGTAACTTTTAATAGTTTGATTCGTGGAGCCTGGAGGTTCATGTACTCTCGATACAATACCTACTTGTCCATTTACAACTACAAAAGCACTTTTGTTCCAATTATGCTTCGCTCAGAGAATGTGTTCGAAATGAACAGCCTGACCCCTTGGCGCAGTAGTGACATATGTGCGAACTTTCTGGAATTTTGCCCTTTTTGGAAGGGGATGAAGTAATTTGCTGGTATTTTAGACCATGATATAAAACACATGGCTGTAAGCACGCCAACACTCGTCCGGTGTGAAGAAAAACAAGATTGCTGTGTGGTGCTCGTCAGCGATAGCAGGAGACAACAGAAGCCTGCCGTGTTCGGTAACCCCACCAATCAGGGCCACTAGTTTCCTATAACTCCGACATGGCCAATGTCACCGATGTGGTGCAAACAGCGGCCTTAGTATCCGAAACAGTCATGCCTAGTGACCCCCGAGTCGCTGTGTCCACCACCCCTGTGATCGGGGCGGAGGTAGTAAACGACCCCCGCCACTGTCACCGCACAAACCCCGGCGGCTGGCAGGGTCTCTGGGCGCGCGCTGTCCCGGAGGAGGACACCGCGCGGCGGGGTCGGACCATCGACAACAGATGCCAGCCTGAGGCGCGTCACTGCCGAGAGGGCTCCTATGGGTGACATGTTAGTGGGAAAGGGGCCATATTTGATTGCGTTCTTCTTCGAAAGAGGGGGTGTTTGAAGCTCCTAGTGGCTCGTGCAATGAGGGTCAATTGCACCGTAAATGACAACTTTTGATATCGTCGACAACTAAACGGTCCCCGAATATCGCAAGCAAGAGTCCATGTAACCAGGCGAACGATGCTTAAAACTTACACTATATAGGAATCAATTTAAATTTGACGCTGGTTTACTGCTTTGGAGAATATCCCGTCTTCAGCTCTCACTTTGTATGATTTTTTTGTGCAGTTAAGTTTACAATAAACCTTACGAGTCAAAAGGAACTTAGGAACGATAAGAACCAGTATAACGCCTTTTGGGGCGACTAACGGAGCGAGCGAGAGGGTGGGCCTTGCACGTGCGAAATTGCGAGGGGGTACCTCCAACTGACTTGTGCACGGCACCCTACTAACTGGTCTCTAGCGATGTGCCAAATTTGGGCACAATCGGCCCAGCCGTTCTCGAGATCTGGAAGCGGCACCCTGCACGTGCGCACGTGCAAAATGGGTCCCAACTGACTTGTGCACGGCACCCTACTAACCGGTCCCTAACCGTGTACCAAATTTGAGCGCAATCGGTCCAGCCGTTCCCGAGATCTGGAAACGACCCCTGCACGTGCGCACGTGCAGCAGCACCCCAACTCTGGCACATGTATATGCAGTGCCTAGTGGGTGCCTACCTACATGCCAACTTTCAGCGCAATCGGCCAAGTAGTTACCGAGATATTGCAACAATTACAAAACTGACACCTCTTCGTTTTGCACGTGGCACGTGCATAAGGGGTCACCCACATGCATCGGGAATAGTCCAATACTTGGTAGAAGGAATGAAGCTACCCTACAAAAATTACCGCGTGTAAATCGGTCAAGTGGTTGCTGAGATATAAGCCTCGCAAAAGCGTGACCACGGCCGGCCGGCCGGCCGGCCGGCCGGCCGGCCGGCCGGCCGGCCGCTCATACTCAGAAATTTCCGTTAATCTAAGGAAAGACTACGCTCGCTTCGCTCGCTCCGTAATAACAATGCATTCGCATAATTATTAGAAAATATTCTTTTTTAAATGTATGATAAAGTAAGAGCATGTAGAAATGAAGCTGGAAAAATAGCTTACAAGAAAATGTCTGAGGTAGCAGAAACTCACACTTCTGGACTTCTGGTATCAGTGGTATCATCATAAGCGTAATCCTTCGAGACTCATGAATCAGCCATTAGTCGCCCACAATACGTCGACTCCAATAAAAATAATCAACCAGTCGTTCATAAAGCAATGTCTCTTCTTGATGCAAAACATTTTCAATTTGACACAATTGTATTAACATGATAAGTACCTACTGCACCAGCCACAAGTTTAGGCGATCATTTCATGGCCACAGAGCATCCGACATTTAACCGGACATTTCTTAAAGTATCTCCAACCCGATGGCCTCATGAGTTATCATCCTGCTCCGGCTACGATAATTACGCCGCGAATACGGGGATATGATTGTGTACCCGTTTACGATGGGTCGGTCAGCGTACAGAGTATTTCAAATAACACAGACCACTGCAGTGGTCAGTGCACTGGGGCAGCCAGGCGAGTCGGCGCGTTCCTACCGTGTACCGTGTAGGCACCGGGACAGCAGGGTTCCGGCTGCTACCCCACGGTAGGCACCGGGACAGCAGGGTTCCGGCTGCTACCCCACGGTCGGCACCGGGACAGCGCAGCAGGGCCTCTGTCTGAGCCCCTGAGCTCCTGACAGCTCCTTCGAGACGGTCGACAGGATCAACAGTTTCCAACGGGGCCATTCGGGCCGTCCGGCGCCCCGGTATCGGACGGAGTGCAGAAGGCTGGACGCGGATCAGACGACCGCGACTTTCCCTGACCTCACATACACCCGACGGTGACCTCATACGCACCAAAAAGCAACTACAGATATCTCACTGTGTGCCACAGCACCCTCAGTCGACCAGCCCCCACGCTTAATGGCAGGCAGACAGTGCCAGGGCAGTGAGATCAGGACATCGAGCACAGAACAGCGATACAGACTTCACTTCCTGCAGCGACAACCAACGCTCACACACCGTCAACGGCAAATATCAGCCAAACAGTCACGGGTAAAATAACAATTAGCACATGACATACGCGAGTTGTGCGCGGCGAGTGCTAAGGCAGTGGGCGCTTTGATCATAACGTTACTGCGGTGGTAGGAAATGCCCAACAATAACAAACTGATGGCATGGGTACCTACCTATTTCACGGTTGGCACACAACATAATGGGATTGGGTCAGGCTTTTGTGTTCAGTTGTGCCGCTATTCCTACGCTCTACCATCCAAGTTTATCACTAACATATCACTAACAAGGGACACTAAAGGTATAGTACTAAATCATTTCAATAAAATCGCTACATACATGCCCGCACACGGGCTAACTCCCATACTTCACCACCCACAAAAGTCCTCAAGAGTAAACACAACAATCTTCTCCTCTTCTCTATAACTCCCCGCCCATTCCATTCCTGATATTATCCCCCACCAACCCAGCACGGGAAGACGCCCTTCCTCGGTGGGTCGCGGAGGGGAGCCGCACCTCCACATGTGTTCACACAAGGTGAAAGGCCTGTCGACTGGCTTTGAGCTGTTGCTGCGGGTTGCTGGGAGAGATGCACCGTTTGGCAGCGTCCGGCTGGTCCGGCGCGATGTTGTGGGAGACTTTGATACCGCCACCGCCGCTGCCGTCACCTGCAACGAAAGCGGACATTAGGACATGTCGGAAAATAGGTACAGACAGACGAGCCGTCTCAGGGACAGTCTTATATCCTAGTGTCTTAAAGACGGAAAGGTGGGCGGTCTCAGAGACAGGAGGACGGGCTGCCTCCGATACAGGAAAATCGTCAGGCAGGCTGGCTCACTGTCAGAGAAGCTGGGATGGGCTAGCCTGACCTTGTGAGGGTCTTTATCCGGCTACCCACCTGACTTTGATAGCGTGTTGAGCCGGCTGTGCCCGGCGCCGGTGCCGGTGCGGGAGAAGTCGTTGAGCTCTCTGCGCTGGCGGTCAGTGAGCTGGGACCGGTCCTTGGACCTGCCGCCCTCCTGCGCCGCCTGCAGCTGCTTAAGCTGGTGGCAGCCGACACGGCAGAGGCTCACTTTTCGAACATTGGAATACACATACTCAGTAATTACTGCACCAGTGTAACTGTAAGAGCACTACAATGACAGTCAGTAACATAACTAATATCCAAATATTCGTTGTTTATCAACATGATAGAGCGCCTGAGCGTACTTGAATATTCAAACCAACATAACAAATGGCTGAAAACAATACCATTACCAAAATCAATTTACCACAAAACTTACAGCCCGCGCTCAGATCCTCGCCGGAGCAGAAAGTCAACCTCTCCCCTCCCACCCCACTCGGCCCCTAGTCCTCCTCCCCGCTTCACTCCCCTCCACCGCCAACTCACAGCCACTTCGATGGAGCGGAACTGCCACGTCCAAGCGGCGTGGTAGAGGAACGGCCGGTGGTCGTGCCGATTGTCGTCCGGCCCGTACGCCTCGGCGTGCAGCGACGGCGTCAGCACCGTCATCTTGTGCCGGTTCACCGCGTAACACCGGTAGAAGTGACGCACCTTCTCCGCTACCTGGTGTACCATGAGAAGAGTGGGGAAAGTGATGAACGCTGAGCTAGACACGGCATCTTGGACTCTCGCCGCTCACTAGTTGGCTCCGTGGTGATGGATGGATGGTAGAGGTGTCGAAAAGCAGCAGTAGGAGCCGGATCCTGTCTTCTTTTGATAAGAGGAGAGCAGGACGAGAAATGATGCGCAAAATACTGTTGGGGCTTGGAGCGGATGACTAGGAAAGCCACTTATGATATAATTAAATGATCCGTTCTGATAGTCAAACCTGATAGCGTCACCCTGCCGACCAGCGCTATGAGCCCCATCTGCATCTGAGCGGGCCCTGGCATTGCCAGAGGCCCACAGCCCGGTGACATGTCCCGTCCTCACATCGTCAATCACTATCGCTGCGTCCCTCATCACACCGGTATCTGAGTTCACCTAATCGACCTCTGCTGCAACATCTCTATAAACACGCCCGACCCCGGTGCTCCCCCGCGCCTCTGCCCGGGTCACCGCCGGAGGCATCCTCGGCCCTCCTGCCTCCTACCCCGCCACCTCGGCAGCCGGTAAACACGGGTACAGATGCTGACCGGACAAACATGGGTGCGCGGGCGACAAACAACACACGAGGGCGCCCTGGCAGCAGTCGAACGCCTGCCGCTCGTCCCGGGAGCTGATAAGTGGACGGTGCACGGGGTGCCCCCTCCCTGACCCCGGCCTGTGCACCACATTCTGCTGTGGTCAGCGACACAGACACAGATCACGGCACCCGTGAAATGTGCACCCGCGACGGCTGTAAGTTATCAATCAGACAAGTGGTGTGCAGTGGTGTTTGCGCAAACCAGCAAAACAGGCAATTATGCCCGGCGACTGGCTGGCTATCATCTTACCATTAAAAAATAAAATAAAATAGCAGCAATAGAAAAACATTGTAATTCAGAAGAAACAATGAAACGAATCAATATTCCAAAAGATCACTTCAGATGGGGACCCTTCTCCTCTCGCTCAAACAACTAACGCAACTTTCTTAACAAGCTGAAGTAAGAATGTTCCACATAAAGTAAGTGGTTCAAATTTCAAATATTCATAATGAGAACGAAGGTAAATGTATTTTTAATATTTAAAATCAACAATATGATAAAAGTAAAATAAAATAGAGCAAGAAAACACAGCATAAAAACGAGTGAAATTACTGAATATCTAGCGACTTAAAACCCGGCAGTTGCTGGGGTATTCCACCATCCATCGTTTGCCTTGGGGGGGGGGAGGGGGCGTTAAATGCCCCCAGCCGAATATAACTCAAGAACTAATAGCACAGCGAAACGCACGAGGCGACAAACGAAAGAGCGCGAAAAACACTTCAGATGAGCATTTGAAAGTATTTGAAAGTTGAATTTTGAGGTCACTGGTCGGGTCAAGGTCAGGTCAAACACCTGAAATTGAGCTTTCAGTAGCATGAAGTTAAACCCCTCGCACTGGGCGTCTCTCGTCAAAAACTCTGTCAAAACTATGCAAAATCCTTCATAGAAGTGCTACACGAATGTCAGATTCATGTAGGGGTCAGTCAAGCATAGGTCAGGGTCGAGGTCAGGTCAATCAGGTAAGCATATATCACCGAAAATCAAAACTGGTATTCTCAGCAGATGACGTGTGTCATGAGTACCTACTCTTGGGCGTAGAACACGACGGTGACATTCATTTTATCATATGAGCCTTCATGCATGATATGAGTGCGTGTTATGTCGAAAAAGATCGATTTAAGAAATGTATGTATCATGGTCGTGAAGTTGTCACGAGAAATTGCCCAGATTCGGTTCAAGATTTTGGAAAATGTAGAACGATCATAAAAAATCGAAGATAGCCATTTCATTGTTCATTGTATTGAGAGTCTAATGGCGTTTACGGCATGTCTCTACCTACGTCTGTTCTGTGATTTTATGTGATTTTTTTTAAACATATGCCGTTTTTGGTCAAAAATTCAGAAATATTGACGTCACTAAAAGTACTTCGATATCTCAAATATCTTCCGACCGATTTTTTTTTTAAAACTTCGTCATAATAAACTTCAATCAATTCCCTAACAGGTAGGTACCCAAAATTGGCGCGCCGTTTTTTAGCTATAGCGCGGCGAAAAAGTGGGGGCGTTTAACGGCCTCCCCCCCACCACCACCCCCACCAACTAGCGGGTTAAGACGATCAAAATAAATAACCAAGTGCCAAGAATAAATACGGCCTTCTCCGTAGCAGTTCTAACTACAGTCTACTGCAGCCGAAAAAGAATTAATTTACACATAAATCAAATGGCGTGTCTCCATAGAAACGCAGCACAAAAAAAAATGTAATGCCGTCGAGACCGAAAACGAAAGGAACTCTCCATTGCCTACTAATTACTGCGGATACTAAGTGGTCAAGCAGTGCCTACAATAGAAAGATAGACGTGTTGTTGCAACTGCACTCGTCCGCTGATTAATAGATTCGTTCCTAACGACAGACGGAGTTTATTTTCTTGTCCCGCTAGACCACGGCCAGCCATTTGAGTCTGCTGCTCGTTGAGGCAGGCCAGGCGCTCCAGAGCCAGCTTGCGTCCCGGTCGTACCATATTACACTAGTGGAGGAGGCAAGAAGGTTCGGAACTTGGGAGGAGTGGTCACGCTAAATTTTTACAAGAGGGGGAAAACCGCGGCACCGGCGCCAAATGAAAAACTACAACAATTTTACACTTGGTTTCTCAAAAAAACGACCCAGGTCTAAGCATATTGGATACTTCCGGCACCTCCTGCATTCCGTCCAACATTAATACATGTACGAGTATTTTCATGTTTTTTTCTCACATTCTCTTTTCATATTTGCCACTTATTATCCAGACCTGTCGTGCGATACCGACTGACCGTCGTATCGATACTGTTGATCGCAGCCCACTCTGCCCCCGCCACCGCCCCCATCCCCCTGGTCCTCTGCCCCCTGTCCCCTGCGGCTGGCGACTGTCCCCTGCCGTCCTAGGTCACTGAGGCGGGCCGATGGGTGCGCCGGGCCACCGAGCACGGTCGGGGCACTGGGAGCGGCCGGACGCTGCACCAATTCGCGCCAGTTCACTCCGCATCAAAGTTTACTTTAGGTTTGATCGAAAGGAATTCTTCGACCGAATCTACCAGTCTACCTCAGTGACCCGATCCCATGTTCAACGACCTATCGGGAGGGGGGGGGGGATAGCAGGATGGACAGATTCCAGTCTGGCTATTCGAGAAAACGGCGTCAAATGTTGAACCCAATGCTGTTGACGACATGCCACTTGATTAAAACAGAAATGGTAACCTTGAAAGCAGCAAACAATATCCTGTGAGCCTCTTTCAGGACTGGATTACCAAAATGTGAGATAAATAAAAGGAAAATACTTCTGATCTGTAGATACATGGGATGAGCATCACGACCGAGGCCAGATTAGTCCATGAGTGGGACATCTAATTTCATTTCATTTATTCCTTTATCACCAACGGGCGTTACCCCAATGACATCGATTCTGAATCATTTATCAAAATAATGCTACTGAAATTTGACATTCTTGACTCAGCCATGACGACAAAGATAGTCAACAACATCTTGTCAATCAATTAACTTGAAAAGCAGAACATGTATAATTCAAAAGCCATAAATGACCCACTCCCAGCCAAGTTTGGTTTTGTGTCTCGACTTTTCGTGATCTAACTAGTAACTACTCATTCAAAAGGTGACTGACGACTGTGTTTCACATGCGAATAGATCGAGATAAGGCCATTTATACGTATTTGAGACTGTAAAACAACGTCGACGTCAAGGTCGTCAACACTGTTTAAGGTAGTATGTATAAAAACTCCAGTAATAAAAAAAACGATATATGGAATGGATAATTATAGGGTGCGGCAAAAGTATTGATACCTTCCGTCTTTTTGTAATAACTCAATGCATTTCCAACATGCCCCCGAATATGACATTTCTGAGCGCGCCCTTGCGCACCCGCATCCTTCCCCGAGGCGGGGATTAGCTGAACAGCTGACCTCGACCCAGAGGGTCGCCGGCCGGGGTCATTATCCACCCGGTGGCCGCTGCAGTAGTCACGGCCGAACCATGAAGGTCAAACAATACAGTTTGGAGGCTCGCAGCCGCGCCATTGGCATGCTCCAAGCCGGCAAGACGCAGAGGGACGTTGCCTCACACTTTGGGGTCCCAGTCCTCACCATCAAACGCTGGTGGAAGAAGTTTAAGGAGGCAGGGAGCGTCGCAGATAGACCGCGGTCAAGGCGCCCTTCCAGCATCTCGACCGTCGCCAAGATCGTGATGAAGAAAGCGGCTGGAAAATCTGGCCACTCGGCGAGGAAGCTGTTCAAACAGCTCACTCTGAAGAAATATCCGGTGTCCGAGAGGACTGTCCGCCGGTACTGGAGGAACACCCTTGGACTGAAGGCCTACAAGATCCGCGTAAGGCCAAAATTAACGGGAAAACAGCGAGCACAGAGGCTTCAGTTTTGCAAGGAACGCAAGAACTGGACTGTGGAAGAGTGGAAACGGGTACTCTTCAGCGACGAGTCTCCCTTTCAACTCTTCCACCACCCAAACCGCCAGAACGAGCGAGTGTGGGCTGAGAACCCGGCTGAAGTCCCGAAGGCGTTCAGCGTCAAATTCCCGCCGAAACTGATGGTGTGGGGCATGATGTCCTACGAGGGACTGAGCCAGCTGCACGTGATCCCGCAGAAGACGTCGGTCAATGCCGAGTACTACGTGGAGCACATCCTCGAGGAAGTCTGCCTCCCTGCCATCAACAGGACGGCCACGACGGGCTCCGCCCTCACGCGCCGCATGGTCGAGCGCAGGTCGGACAGCATTTTCATGCAGGATGGCGCTCCAGCTCATCGGTCTGCCAGAGCGCAGAAGTGGTGCCGGGAGCACCTCCCCAACTTCTGGGCTAAGGACACGTGGCCAGGGAACAGCCCTGACCTGAATCCAATTGAAGAGCTCTGGGGGATAATGCAGCAGGAGCTGGACAAGAAAAAACCTCCCAGCAACCTTGGACAGCTCGAGAAGGCGCTCAAGAGGACGTGGGCGAACATCAGCCCACAGACTCTGAAGAACTTGGTGGCCAGCATGCCCGCATGTCTCTCACTCTGTGTCCAGCTTCGTGGAGAATACATTGACCGCTGAAATGAAACTGTTGTTTTAATTTTACGGGAGGGAGGGAATGAATGGTAAGGTATCAAAACTTTTGCCGCACCCTGTATTGAGTCGGTTGTGACTTACTTGACTTATTTCGTCGACTCCATCTAGTAGATGCAGGATCATTTCTGATTGTCTTCCAATTATGTTAGCTGTCTGGATGATATAAATTTTCAGGACATCATAGTTGGGAGGACTCTTTAACAGTTACTCTTCTTGGTTATATTCTCAGTGAGTTCCTTACGCACACGGGCTTGGTAGATATAATGGATGATCAAGCTTTGTGGCTTATCGGCGATGATGATAAGTTCTGCTGCTGGTAGCGTTCTGTTCAAGATAGTTTTGTATATTTTTTGAGCAGCTACTCTATCGTCTTTCAGTTTGTCACATTCAAAGAGCATGTGTTCCAGAGTTTCAATGGCATTATGACACAATGGACAGACAACAGTTTCTTTGTGCCTTCTAACCATGCTTGTGGCCACCAAAGAGTGGCCCGTTAGTAGGACAATTTTGGTTAGTGTCGCTTGTCTGGTAATTGCGCTGTACTTGCTTGCCGGCCAAAATGTTTTCGGCGCCTCGTACTTTTCGGTTTGTGGCAGTAGCGAAAGCCAAAACAAACTTGTCATATTCTCTGCTGTGTTCCTGATGATTTTTATCATACTTTGATCCACTGATGCAGATGCTAACTTGTTCCATGCTGTCCGCGGTTGGTTGTGAAATATGAAAGACATCAAAACCTAGCTATTGTGTCATCGTTCACCATAGAGCAGCAATAGCACCTGCACGACACCCTAGTTTGTTTCCCCGATTGACAGCAGGGACATCCTACCTGTTATAATCGGTTGTTTGCATTTTCCAAGTCCAAGTCGACTTAGAAGATATCGAAATCAGAAGCAAGCACACAATCAAATGAGCAAGTACTCGAACACCTCTGCAAGGCGAGAATCATAAGCAGAATGAATCCTTTCCAGATCGTCGTTGCTCAGATTTTTTCCCTGAAATTGGTCATGGGCTTTGCTTACCAGTCATATGCCTCATCCAGATCTCCCATTCCTTCTTCTCTCCTCACTTTTCAAACTTTAATCTTACTTTCTGTTCTTACTTTTCTAGTATACCTACATTCTAAAAAAGTATAAATGTCAAGTACTACGCGAATAACAGCAACAGCATGTCGACTGATCAGAGTGGCAAAGGATCCACCCGAGCAGGCACCGGTTGTAGGTATGTACGACTCGTGAATTCCCCGCTCACCAGCGCCACCACGGCGGCACTGGACCAAACTATTGGTAGTTTCGCTCCGTGGCGAGTGAGGGCAGCACCACCGCCACTGCACCAGCTGGCATTACGAGCAAACGCCGGTCCTCACCGGGCTCAGCCGCGACAGTGACGACATACAATATGTAGACGCAGACCAGGGTGATAATTGGGAAGGATCGGCTTTCAGTATCACAAGTCAAAGGAGAGACCCCGGAACAAAACCACGCACACGTCCCGTCCTGATGTCCCATCGCTTAGGCGATATGAATTTCCAACAGAAAGACCTTGGGGACTCATGAAAGATCGCTCGATTTCGCGAGCTAGCCAGTAATTTAATGAACCAGTGACGGTACTCGTGCAGAAGCAGATAATCCATCACCACCCGCCGGCTCATGCCGTCCCCACCCACCTGTTCGGGCGTGCAGTGGTCGGCCCACATCTGGATCAGCTTGCAGAACATAGAGTACGGGCCGCAGCTGTGCTCCTTCCGCAGCTTTCCGTATATGGAGAGCTCCGCGTACGTCATACCTGGGCACAGCGCAGGGGGCGGGACTGAGGGTAGCGGGCGGCTTATACAGTGGTAATTGTCAAACGTGTTTTACAGCGTCTGAGCCGTGATAAAACACAAAGGTGGCTGATTGACTGGATGGTGGATGCCTATGCAAAGTAAGGCAAAAGACCATTTCGTCCTCAACCACATCAGTTCTGGTCACACCTACATCTGGTCTATTGTCTCATTCGCCGCGTTAAGGTTCTCACATTCCACTCTCGTGAAATAGTCATTACACTTTCGCGTTTTGCGCACGCATTTCCGCTCGTTCATATACGCCTTGCTCCGTCAATCAAAGCAGCACCATGTCCCGTTCATTCCAACAGTGTGAAGTTCCGCCGGTACGTACCCATGACCTGTCCATCCCATGAGTTGCAGCAGTGCATAACCCCTCCACTTGTTCCGCCATTACGTACCCATGTCCTGTTCATCGGTCTGCGCCAGTCGTCCGTCGGCCAGCGGCTCCAGCTCGGCAGTGGGAGGCGCCTCCAGGATCCCGTCCAGTGAGGGCAGGCTGAACTTGCGCCGGGCGTACCGCAGAAACGACTGGGGACGCGGAGAGCACCGGGTCAGATAGGTGGATGGAGGGGATGACTTTTAACGTGAAGCGTCGCCTAATGTGTAGGGTGAGTGGGGCGCCCCCTGTAGTAGGTATCTGCCACGGAGGATAACCTGCAGTCCACGTATGGAACGTCATGCGTTAGGCTACAAATTAGAATGCAGCCAGCAAACAGACCAAGCTAGGTTAGGGCACGAAAAACGTTTGAGTAATCAATGCGGCTAGGGAATACATTGTTTAAACACAGGGGCTCACATCATCGGTGAATGAGACTCATTATTTGCTAAACGTGAAAAAGAAAAATATTTACGTTAAAAATATACAGGGTAACGATATTCAAGAAATTGACAGGATAATAATGAATATAAACAAAGATATTAAAGCAGACCATCATCGCCACTCAACTTCCGTCCCAACTAATCAGCGGCCCAGTTTGGTCGATGGTAGCGTGACACCGGCCTGATTTGAGATTTCCTGCTCGCTTGATTGATCAATAGAACCATCCTATCCTGAGCGGCCGTCTACACGCTATTCCTCCCGCTCGCCTCTGACCGCCAAGTCCCCGGGCCAGGACCCGCCGCTCGCCCGGCTCTCACCTTCAGGTCTGTCTTGGAGATGCCCCCGATGGGGTTGATGTCGGCGCTGCTGCAGTCGTACTTGGTCATGTATCCGCGGAGCGACTCGTCAACGTTGGCCGAGCCGAGGACGAGCAGTCCGCCGGGACGGTCTCGGACCCAGAGGGTCAGCTGGGCAAACAGGTAGGCCAACACCATTCGCAGACGGGCCTGACGGGAGGGGACAGAGGAGAAACGGTGAACACATGAGAAATCGAGCGTTCGGTGGGATCACCCAGTAGGCAGTTGGGTGAAATTTAGCCGGCAGCTCACAATTATATACATTGGTCGGGTGGGGGCCGCTGTGCTCTTATAGCACGCTTTTTTACACTTACATCGCCGCTCACTGCAAAAATAAACCCCAACGCTATCCATACGATACAGCTTCTGCTCAATACTCTCCGCCGCAGCTAACCCACCTGGACATTTTGCAGGGCGAGGTTCTCTCGCGGGGTGCCGCCGCGCGCCCGGAACTTGGGCACCAGTCCCGTGACGGTGGTGAAGATTCCCAGCACGGCAGAGACGGCCACGTCAATAGCGATACTCAGGTGGTAGCTGGGGACGGTTCGCAGAAACATTAGGTTAGCGGGGAGGAGTCATACTCGGGCCGTAGCTGGGAAAGGGTCGAACACGGGGGTCAACACCGGGTGGGTGCCGGGTGGGTTATATAGCTAAGGACAAATGCATACCAGAGTTTATACTGCGAGCGTAGTTGCGTGAGTTCCAAAATATTAGCCAGTCTTGCATGCTCACATAGTTTATGCAGTCGATCGCTTTCGATTCAATACAAATTACACCATTGAAGACAAATGCTAGCATTAATGCTACCGACCTTTCATGTCGCTGTAACACCTTCCTCTCCCATACCACCCCCTTCCCCTCACCCTCAGTGCCCCACCTGCCGATCTCGGACGCCAGCTGAGCGGCCCGCGCCCGCGTCTCTGCCGAGGAGTTCTCCGATCCCATGTAGCAGGTGGTGAAGAGCCGGCCGCACAGCTCGCGCGGATCGGTGGGGGAGTACTCCGAGTCGCCGGCGATCCGGCGCACCTGCTCCAGGGTGCGCGTGTCTGTGACGGGAGGAAGGGGCGGGTGATGCACTTGTTCTGGGGCCTGTGTCTATCCCCTCGCACAGTGCAGTCCTTTGATAGAATCTATACCGACTTCCTAGCTGGTCAAACGAAAAGAGCAAAACACACGCTGTCATCACAGTTGAAGCAATCATTGCAATGCTCGAGCGGCTGTCAATCCAGTAAAGTCGTGTTCTATCCTACGACCGTCGATAAGCTATTATCTTTCCTCTCCGACTATCGATTAGGCTATTTGTTGCCCTTCCCGTGACAGCCTCTTCCCTGACCGTCTCCACTCGAACCACCCGCCCGCCACTGACCATGCCTGGCGGCGCTGACCAGCAGCCGGCACATGGAGAACACCAGACAGGCGGTGCTGGAGGAGTCGACGCCGCCGCTGAGCGGCAGGAAGAACCCACCCTGGCCGCTGCGCCGCAGGTAGTCCCACAGCCAGCAGGCGGCGCTCAGCGCGATCTCCTCCTCCGGAGGGTGGTAGTGCGGCTGGCGGAGACGGTATGGTGTTTAACATTAAGAGCGAGAGGCGACTCACTATGAGGTCCGAGGATTCACAGGTTATACTGAAATATAAATTAAATCGACGCATATCTTAAGCAGAATCGGTAAAAATACACAAGTGAAGTGAACAACCGAGCCTTGACTACAACGCACACAGGAATCTAACCTCAGCGCTTCCAGTTCAAAGCAGTTGCAGATCGCCATCCTGCGCTCGACAAAAAGAGCTCCGGTCGACCCATTCTAAACCTCAGCCCGCTAACCGATGCCGTACCTGTATGGGCGTCCAGGAGGGCAGTGCCAGGTCTCCGTCTCGGGACAGGCTGAAGTCGACCTCTATCCGGGGGAAGGAGGGCGCCGCCGCCGCCTGGATCTGCCGGCTCCGGATCCGGTTACGGTAGGTCCGGATCTCCTCCAGATCGATGGTGGCCGAGATGACCTCCTGCGGCGACGAGTAAGGGTGATCAGCGCTCGGTTCTGACAGTGTAAAACCGGTGGCGATCGAAAGTGGAATCAGTCGTGGGTGGCACTTCTGCGGCGATCGGAATTAAACGTTCACAGATGAATCTCGCTAAAAGCTACAGATGGATAAAATTGTTGCATTTTTTTCGGTAGATCGCAGCTTGTGCTCATTAAAAGGGTTGACTGTTTCCGTTAGCCTCTAACATTAGGCGAACTTTCATACTGAACCCACTTACATCTTCACCCTACCCGCCTCCCAGAAGTATCCACTCACCACCTCCTCCAGGGCGAACTGCCGGCCGGCGGCGGCGAACTCGCCGTTTACGGCGATCGAGGGCGCGCCGTTAAAGTAGAGCCGATCGCCGTCCCCGCCGCGCATGTTACTGAACAGGTAGCAGCCGCCGCACTTGGACGTGGCCGAGCGCATCAGGTCAAACACCACGTAGGCCTTGCGCAGCTCGAAGTGGGAGCCGCTGCTGTTCACGATCAGCTCAGCGCCGTCCAGCGTCTGTGCCACGTGTGAGCTGCAGGAAAGGGAGGAGGCAGGAAATACGACCGCGTGTTATAAAACGTTCGGATGGCACGGGGCAAAGCACGCTGTGGGTATTAAGCATATGACAAGCGTCTCGTGATGTCCGGTCATTAGACAGCCCGCAGTTGTGACCGAACCCCCTCCGCTCGCCAGCTCACCTATCCGCACTCCAGAGCTCCTCGCAGATCTCGTAACCGACACAGGTATCCCGCGTGGCCAGCAGGGCGTCTCCGATCGGTACGGTGCGCTGCTCCGTGATGGCGGCGATCATCCGCGGCAAGTGGTGCGGCTCCGTCTCACGGTGCTGGGGACGAAAAAGGGCGAGGAGGAAAAGGTCAGAGAATGTTGTTGGGGTGCAGACTTCAGTGGGGAAGAGGGAGGTGATTATGTGAAACCTTGATGCCGCTCAAAACATTACAGGAGTTTTCGGATAGCGAAAAAGAAAAGAAAAGAAAAACAGCATTGAAAGTTACATCACTCACGGAGAAGAAAAGAATCGGGTAGCGTTTCATCGGTCCGATTCGCTTATAACGAATGAATCGCAGTCAACGCTCGTTACTCACTTAAGTATGACAAAACGCGGGTATGTAGCTGCATACGGTGCCGTGTTACCTTTGTCCAAGCGGTGAACCAGCGCGTCTCCCGGTAGTTGCCGGTGTCACACAGCGTCATTTTGGGCCGAATCAACAGGATCTTACTGAAAAAAATACCCATGAGCATATGGTATAGCAAGTACTTATTTGACATTCAAAAACTTCAATTGAGAGAAACAAGCATTTTGCAAGCAAACATTGATAGGTACTTTTGAGACTTCTATTGTCGTCTGGACACAATAAACGTCTCCCGAGTACACAACACGATTGCACGGTCAATACCGAGCGGTGATGCAGCCTGCAGCACTGTGTGCCTCTGATGGGAATGAGCATATCCATGTGTGCCATACATAGATGCTGTGAATGGTCGGAAAGCTTTCTACTCGACACTGAATACTGGCCGAACCGACCACCACCACCGTAACCCCGGCCGGCGACCGTGCCGTTCCGCGGACTGACCTGTTGAGGAAGACCACGCGGCAGTTGTAGATGACGTTCCGGTGCATCACCGGCATGCCAACGTCGATGATGATGTCGCGACAGACGGGGTGCAGCAGCAGCTCCGCCAGCACCTCCCACGAGTGCAGCAGCGTGTCACTCTCGTGAAAATGGTCCTGGCAGCTGTAGCCTCTGTTGAACACCGTACGAAATAAATGTGAAACAGCTGAAGACCTTGAAAGACTTGGCATTTTACATTTACAAGAGATTCACAATTTGCACGTTAAAGGTGTAATAGACAGGCAAATACTAGATTCAGCAAACGTATCGATATCCAATTTCCAAGTGAGAGCTAGCAAAAATGTTACACTCTGATTAGCGTCTAGACTTACGGTATGTCCAGTTCGGGTCCGGTGCGATACGTAGCTCCCCTGCTTTTGGCTTCCTTCACGCTGGCCACTATTCGACAGAGGTTACCCTCAAAGTCCAGAGCCCACTGATTTAGGCAGCAGCATGCTAACGTAGCCTTTCGACCCATTGTGACCTGTAAAGTGAACAACCTATGAGACGATTTGTTGTCACATTCATCGCCTAAGTGCCGGGTTGTCGGTGAAGCGCATATTCCACAGTAACCATCAGTCTATCACATACCTAGCTGAGCTCAGATCGACAAGAAACTTGTACTGCTCGGCACATCATGACAGGCAAAGGCATTAGTCGACATCAGCACCATATAGACGACGAATAAGTTCCTGGACGATGTCCGGTGGGCGACGCCCCGTCTCGCTACCGGATGAGTTGACGAAACGGGAAACACTGGAAAGGCGGTGGGGTAAGAGGGGTTGGTGCCGAGGCCGACCGCTTCCGTCCAGTGCCGGACGTACTCCGCAGAAATAATTGTCGGAACTCGGCGATAAGGGGCGAGTGAGCTCGTCGGAGTTTAAACAGTTACCTTAGTACATCACATTTCACAACTCGCACACAAATTCAGCTCTGGCACCATCTGTGCTGAGCACAATGGTGATCAACCATCTGTATTGATCACCATCGATCTCTATCTCAGTGGCCTTTTAAGTACTCCTCATTGTTGCCGTTGTCATATATGCATTTGCTTTCTTATTTCCCAGGTCAAGGAGGATGTGACAACTGACACATGACAAGGTTGGACTGGAGCTGCCAAGCTTGGCAAGTTTTCCAAGCTTAATTGGGTCTAACCCAGGCAGCAATTTGGTTTGGCTCAAGTCCGTTTTGCCCCTGCAGTTCTCTGACATGCAAGGCTTGGGCCGCTGTAAACGGAATACCATCAGGGCTGGGGTTTGGGTCAATATGGCTCTATTCCGGTTGGCCAGCCTTTACCATCATAGCATTTCTGAGTTGGTATAGTTCCAGACTGCCAAGTCTGGCTCAAGTCTGGCTCCCTGCACCGGCTCAAGTCTAGCTCCCTACAATCAGGTCTGGCTGCCTCGTAGCTGCTGTAGCTTACTGTGGCTGAAGTACGGTTACGGTACGGCATGGATGACACAGCTGTAGTCCGGTTGTGGTGCAGGTGAGCTTTGGGGTAGTGTGTCAGCTCCAGTAAGGCCCCATACCTTGCCCATGCTTTGGTCTGAGCAAATGCCAGAGCTAGCCAGAGTAAAACCAGCAATGGCCCAGTCAGGACCAAAGTTGCTGGCTGGGCATTAGCTCATCTCCAGCCAGGGAGGAGTGTGAGCACTGAATGATGTCTGGTCTGTAACATACTGTACTGTACTGTATGGTGCAGATATCTGGAAGAACTCCAAGGTAATTTATAGAGGAGAAACAGGAGTGGTCCCAACATGGAGCCCTGCAGTACTCCACCGGACCACCGGTTACTGCCACAGCAACACAATAGCCTATCCATATCAGGTATCAATATGTGTAGATCAATATGGAACGGATGTCAGATTTACCCTTGGATTTACCAATACTGATAAGCTCTGGGGATGGTGACTGTTAAACTTACATTAGTAAATCATTTGCAAAAAGAGATGGTTTGAACGCCTTGGTTTGTACTGAACTAGACACATAAGTATATCAGCAATGAAACGTCTTATGCATGGGTTTATAAAAAGAAACACCTAAAAGACAATATGTCTGAGCACTGATATGCATTTATCTTTATGTAATGAAAATGGTTATCGGACAAGGCATCACTGGCATGCCAGATTGCTCTTTCACAGAAAATAAGTTTAACACTTACCGCCAAACGATAGCTGCTGAGAATTAGAAAATTCAATTATTGAAGCCTGGAAAAGTTGCAACTGAAAAATCCTAGCAGCAAAACACCACCCAACCTTCCGATTCCGGCGGGTGACATTCATAAGTACCAGAGTACCATTGTACCCAGGTTACACCGGGACCAAGGTTACACCGGGGCCCAGGTTACGTTCGGCCCCAGGATTTGAAGGGACCATGAAGACGCAAGTACCATACTGTGATTGGTCGTTGGCAGACGGGAATGACGTAATGCATCCATGTGGCGTCCGTGACGTTGACCAATAGGAGGGGCGGATACAAATTTGGACCGCCTTGGTACACTACTTGGCAGTGGGATTGATTTTCTCGAGATTGAATTGAGGTAGCGCCGTCCATCGCCCGCCGCGGCGGCGCCCAGGCCCGAGGGTCATCCGGCGCGGCGGGAGGTAGCGTCCCTCGGACCCCCGCGCGGCGGTATAGCGTACTGCGGCGTCAAGAAGTGAAAATGACCCCTTGCACGAATTAGGGTTCGCAGCGGCTAACTTAAATTGCAGGAGGGGGAGGAGGCAGTGGCGTAGCCACGGATTTTTTAGTGTGTGTGTGGGGGGGGGGTCGGTTTTCCGGTCTTCGTCTTGATGGGTAGAGGTGTTTTTAGCCACACTCCGACTCCCGGTTTTTTCATGTGTTGAGAAAAACCTCGGCGCGCAGTGCCACGAAAGCAGCGGTATATCTGATTGTACATCACTTTTGCATCGTGCATAAAAATCAAGCACAGGCCACCTGAGGTCAGGTCACAATGTCATGTTCAGTTCAGTTTTAATGCCTCTAAAAGCTGCAATCTTGTCATTCCTATAGATTATCTCCTATAAGTCTGAAATTTGGTGTAATGAATGGGATTATAAGTGCCAACAGTTCATAAATCTGGGATTTTACATCTGAAAAGTAAAGTCAGGTCAAATATGTGACCTCACCAATCATGATAAGATATGGGAAAATGCACGAATGCCCTCTGCTTTGAACGAATATGCTAAAAACGCTATAAGATAGGTACTTTTGTAGCCATGGCACCTCTGCTCATTTTAGAGACAAGGTGCAGCTAATGACCAGTGGTGACTCGAATGGTCAGTCATTAGGTCATCAAAGGTCTCTAACACATTTTCGACAACAACTTTTGATGGAGACGCTGTAGAGCAATGACAGCACCTGGAGTGTGTTCAGTGTGTGTTCAATGTTCAGTGCTGGAGTGTCAAGTGTGTTCAGCTCAGCAACACAGATCGATCTCACATTTTTGCAGCAGGTTCTTTTCCGGTCAGGACATGACCATTGATTGACCTTTACCTGATGTCAAGGTTTCTAGTTAAGTTCTTAAGTTCAAATTGTAAGCCATGCGACGTGTTTCGACGAAACAAACACGATGGTGATACCTAACATGAATATCATACACATTCACTGAATCATAGGTTGTTACAGAACAAATGTTTCGGCAAATTCCGTCCGTTTAACTGTTTGGCCTCTGTTTAACTGTATGGCCATAGACCCGAAGTCATATCTGAGGCGAAGTTGGCGAAAGAGCTTTAAAAAAAGCTATCGAGTACGCTTTCTGTGTCGCTATAGCTCTTATTCGTGTTTTACGGGTCGCCATAGGCGGCGGAACGGGGAGGGCACCGGGGCACCGTGCCCCCCTTTGATTTTGGCATTTTAACATTAGCCCTATGGGCGTTGCATGGAAAGAATGGGACCAAAAGTCGGCAGTGCCCCCCTTAATTGAAGGTGTTCCGCCGCTACTGTGGGTCGCCAAGGTAAAATGTTTACCAACGTAACGCTAAAGGTATGCTTTCGGCCCCTGATCGAGGTAGAGCTTCGCAGGAAAGCGAGGATGCTGCCCGTGATGAGAGAAAGCCGATGATGCCCAATTTCAAGGCCTTGGCCGCAGGCCGAGTCATCTTAGGTCAACGCCCAAAAGTAGAAAAAAGCTGGCCTGCTAGAACTTTGTGAGCCGTAGCTGTTATCGGGGTTCCGGGTACGAGTTCGATGTTAGTTTTGGACAAAGATGATGACTTCATGCATTTGGGGTAGATCGGGTCGGGTCAGGTCAGGTCGACCAGCAGGCTTCCTGCCGGCCATCTAGAGTGGGTGACAACCACCGACGATAGCTTCGTAACATGTTACTACATAACCACCATTTATCAAAACTACTTCTTAAGTTCAAACGGGCGCTAAACTCGGAATCAGTTTCAAAAACTTCACTTGTAAGTGGAAGCAAATAAAACTAAAGAAAGTGAACCAAGGTCAGCTTTATTCGAATCAGGGCCAATAAATTTTTAGAGTAGGTGTAAAATTGATTAACTCGAGGTCACAGGAAGTTTCGTTGCAATAGGCTCCTTTTTTTATTTTTATTTTTTAATAAATTTAGTCCGAGCCTTTTGATAGGAAGGATTCACAAGGACAGAACCACCGCTAAGCGAAGCTTGTTGCGGTGACCCTGCCCTCTACCCTCCGATCGCGCAATTCCGGTTCTATGGCAGAATTCAGAGTCCAAAGTTTAACGTGCGCACATAGCCGCGCACGGCCGGTCCCCTCACTGACTTCGCCTGGCTACGGCCTGCCACCAACCGCAGCCATACCTGTCAGGAGGCCCATAAATGTCGAGCGCCCGTCGCGCTTCGAACCCGGACTGTTATAACCGGGAACGCGTGCTCTCACCACGCGGAGTCCAACGCTCTACCAACTGAGCTACGGGACCGGCAATTTTTGCGCGTCTTATTGGGAAAGCCCGAGAGGGGTCAACCATCTGACCCCATTTCCCCTACCTACAGGCAGGTCCGATGGTAGTCAGGGCTGAGGCTAGTTAGGTACCTACCTCGTAGTTACTGTCTATCAAGTTATTGTCCAAATCCTACTGGAGTCCTTTTATGGCCTGAGATGACCTCAGTAGCATAAAAGTGGTCACATCACGAGTGAAATTTTCCGAGTAAATGTGCCATGTTTATCTGTATCCCGATGTTTAAGGGTTTTCGTTCTTCAGAGGAAGAGCATTTCAATTTTCTCCCATAAACCCGCGCCGTGCAAGGGGGGGGGGGCGTTTTTACGCCCCCACCCCGCTAGGTTTTTACGAATATTTCAAAAAACGGCGTCGCGCAGCGCCACCGTTTTTACTTTGGATCAGTGAGTAATGATATATATATATATATAGATATATTATATATATATATATATATAATATATATCTATATATATATATCTATATATATATATATATATATATATATATATATATCTATATATATATATATATATATATATATATAATATATATATTATATATATATCTATATATATAGATAT